GACAAATTTTGATTAGGTCAGCAGCCCCATGTAACTAATTAATTCAAAATTCAAAAGTCCAAATATGGATAAGAACTATGAGAATCCAAGCAGCGACAGTACAAACTAAAGATTAACGAGCAGATGAACTAGAGGCCGCCATGAAAGAGCAGAACCCATAAGCCCAAACTGATATATGTTTTCAAATCTAATCCTGAAGGGGAAAATATAAATTTTTGAACAAAATTAAAAAATTGAAAAAAACCAGAGGCTGCCCGCGAAATTAAACATCTACTGAAATTAATTGGCGTAGGCGGTGGAAGGGCAATGCAGCGAAGCAATAATTAAAGCCATTTTTCTTAATTGTGATTGAGAAGCCAGTGATGCAACAACCAATTATACCTCGAGCTACTCTTGATAAAAATTTGGAGATAATGGAGAAAGACTCAACTCTCTCTCTCTTTCTTTCTCTCTCTCTCTCTCTCTCTCTCTCTCTCTCCCTCTTCTCACGTGTGCGTCGGTCTGGTACTGACAGTAAGAAGTGAAGTGCAGACGGCGACGACAATTCTGGCCGGAAAACGATTAGGAAAGAATAATTTAGATGAGAAGGAAAGGATTGAATATACATTACATATATTCTGACCTAATTAGTTTTGGAGGTTAGTTTGTTGTCCAATGGAGCGAGTCTCCATCATTTTCAAACAACGAATGATTCATGAATTAGAGAGTCAAGTCTTTTGCCGTCGAGAATCAAACTGTGTTTTTTTTTTTTTTTTTTAACTATCGATGAATTCAATTGGTTCTGAGATAATAATACATCCTTAATTGTTAATTACAATTCGTGTAATGTCATCCTTAATTATGTTTATTTCTATGATCATGTGATTTTGTTTATACCTCTTGACATATTATTCTGCTTAGTCGCCAATGGTGCTGCGTTAGTGGAGATTTCATTAATCGTGCATGGAAAAGTATGGAAGCACAGAAGGTGAATCTCTTAGAGAGATTGGGGATAACAGGCTGATTTCAATAATTTGGAGTGTCTTACAAGGATGGACGAATTGACCAAGTATAAGACAATAGCAGCCCATGTGGTTGCAGGCACTGCTTCCACATAGCTGCTTGATACTTTCAAGACTGTGATACAGGTTTGAAATATGAGAATGATGTCGAAAATGGCTTTGCTTGCGCCATTATCGCTGTTCTGCGTGTGTGCATGTTTGTTGTATCTATTCTCAGTCTTTTACAGGCACATAATACAGGTCGGCTCCAGCTCGTGGTAAACATTGGCGGTGCCTGATGTACTTTACAGAGTCGGAGTTTTTTCAGGATTTCAAGGTACTTTTCTGTAACCCAAATTTGTGTATTCAACGACATTTTTGGTTACTAAAAGGGACAGTTATGAGAAAACATCTAGACAGAATCGAGCCCTATAGCAAATGTTATGCCCATTGAAAGCTCTATTGATCAAGGATGCTGCACTTTGGCTATGGAGGGTGTTGGCAGAGGTGTAATTGCAGAAAAGATTTTCACATCAATGACGAACAATGAGAAACAGGCAAATTTTTGGTGATGATAGATCTGATGAGGATATGTTTGAACTAATCAGTACGACAGTGTCCAATTAGATTACTAGCATAAGTTTGTACATCATTAACAAATTTAGTAGTATACTTAATGTCTTGGGCATGAGAAAAGTATCATGGGATATCCAAGACTAAATGTTATGCTTGATGAATAACATTAGAGGTCTTCCTCTTGCAATTCAGTTTCTACATAACATATGATTCCAATGCATACTCTATGTCTTTTGGATTATATGTGGTTTTAGTGAGGACAATTCAAAGGAAAGAAAGCGATGATGAGATATTGAAATCCATTGTGTTTTCTTGGAGTTGATTGTGAATTTGTGATTTCATGATGCGCAAATTACTGGTTGATTTGGAAGTTGACTTAGTTCAGTTTTAAGGTCATTAATGCCAATCTGAAGACATGCACTCACTATGTAATACCCCTGGAATTGAGTCGGTGCTAGGCCAACTCCTGTGGATGAGTAGGTATCATGCCATCCGAGATTGAATAGTAATTAAATGGATTAAATAGACTATTTATGTCAATAATGTGCACATTCTTTTTCAAGAACCCCACTGAAAGAACTTTAGAGTTAAGTTTGCTTACCTAGAGACTAATTTGAGGATAGGTGACCTCTGGGAACTCTTCCAGAGTGCGTGTGAGTGAGGATAGTGCTGAAAGAATTCGTATTGACCTGTGAGGCTGGTTTATAATCCCGAAAAACCCGGCTTTGCGTGACTTGCGGGCCGGTGTGTCACACACCACACGATGACAAACATGTCCTTTCGGCTCCAGAGAGAAGTGAATTTACTACCCTGTCTTAATAGAGATCCTTGTTTCCTTTGATTTCGCAAATCTTGTTATCTCTTTTCTTTGATTATGTGTTTATAAATTTAGTTTGCACATGTTCCTAATTTTGTGTGTTGATATATATGTCAATAACATAATATATTATATATATATATATATATTAACGTTGTACATGCTACTTGGTGAATAGATATGATGGATCAAATTTTCTAATAGAATTATTATTATTATTATTTTTTTGTTCTTTTCTGTTGAATGCAGATGGAATCATGAATCATATCTTTGAATTATGGCTGGCCAAAGCATGATGTGGCAGATGCTTTATGTTCAAGAAGCACATTGTGTTAACATTGGCAAGCTTGGATGTATTCTGGCTCAAATACTTTGGCCTTTGAGATGTTCAAGAAGATTTTTGATTTTGTACAGGTCGTTGCATTGAATCGAAGTCTGGTTGCTCTATATTTTTTGCAAAGTTTTATCTTCTTGTCAAGTTTTTGACAATGCGGGACTTCTGTTACGGAGATTGAAACGTGATGAGATCTAAAAGGGGATAGCGCAATTGATTGAAATTATTCTTTATATTAGACTTGTTCATGCTTCGACGATAACATACACATTGAAAGTAAAATTTCATTTATGTTGAATAATATATCTCTTGTATGCCTTATCTTAATGTTTATATAAGTATTTGTTATGTTGTAGGTATTGAAAAACTGCCTTTTTCTCAAACTATAGATCATAATTATATTAGGATAGCAGATTACCGGTGAAGATGAGTTAACTGAAAAGATTTAAAATACTTATGCATTGACAACAATGTGACTGTTGCTTTTTAGTTTATTTATCCAGTTCCTTTGAAAATTTTAATTTAGTTGTTTTTTTCTTATGTAAAATGTTATCTAATATTTCATTTTTCAACTTTTCTATAAAACTTCTGAGAGGTCTTTTGTCAGTTATTTTATTTTTTATTTTATTGGAGCTCAATACATGAAAGCAGTACACAGCTGTGGAGATTTATTGTATTTTGGATGAAAAGTTTAGATGTTTAATGTTATACTAGCATGTTGATTGCTTGAATTCATGAATTGGACTATGATTTTACCGTTGTTAGAGTTTTATTTATTTATTTTATTCATATAGTTGAAAAATTCAGTTGTTGATTGGTAGATTTTAAATATATTTATTAATAATAATATAGTTTTTGTGCTGCTGATAACCTTTGATTGTTATTTATTTGATTTGTGTAGCAGAATTTTGCAGCTGGTCTTATACTAACTATTGTTATTTTTTTGATTTGTGTAGCCAAAAAATCTTGTTGATATATAGATTTTATATTATTTTTTACCCGTAATTTTGATTATATTATATAAATTTCTAGTTTAATATTTTTATTTTTATTTTTATTTTCAACTTTCAAAAGACCATTTATGGAAATAGGCTTTGTAATTTTCTATAGTGGAAGTAGGTTTTAGCTCAGAAATCTATTATATTATATATATATATACAATATATAATTGTTACATATGAAATTTAAAATTAGGTTAAAAAGTCTAAGGTAAAACGAAAAATGGGCCTAGCAATCGAGTTGGTCGAACTGGCCAAGGGGCACTGTGGGAAACTCAGGGAAAATAGATATATTTCTAAGGAAATAGCGGGTGGGGAGGTCCGCAGGTCGGAAGGTCTTTAGGACGGGAAGTCCGCAGGTCGGAAGGTTCTTAGGTCGGGAGGTCCGCAAGTCGAAAAGCCCTCAGGACGGAAAGTCCGCAGGTCGGAAGGTCCTCAGGTCGGGAGGTCCGCAGGTCGGAAAGCCCTCAGGACGGAAAGTCCGCAGGTCGGATGATCCTCAGGTCGGGAGGTCCGCAGGTCGGATGGTCTTTAAGTCGGGAGGTCTGCGGCTGGACCAATAAGTCGGATGGTCTTTAAGTCAGGAGGTCTGCGACTGGACCAATAAGTCGGATGGTCTTTAAGTAGGAAGGTCTGCTGCTGGACTAACAAGTCGGATGGTCAGTAGGTCGGGAGGTCTGCGTCTGGACCAAACAAGTCGGGTGGTATGCAAATCAAGAGGTTGGTAGTTGGACCAATAAGGTGGAAGAGTTGTCGTTCGGGCCAAAAAGGGGGAAGGTTTGCGGTCGGTCCAAAGAGGCGGATTTTGTTGAGAATAAGTGAGAATGATACTGTGGTCGGTTGAGGGCACGTGTCAGCCGGAGAGGGGGTAGCAGACGATTGAAAAGGAGACCTTGTAACAGTTCGGGCGACGGTTTCCAGTAACGTTTTTTAAGGAGGATTTAAGGATTTGGATTTTTCTGAAAAAAAATCATCTTCAATCAACTTTAACAAAACAAAGTCAGATTCGGGATCACCACTTCAAATTTCCAACATTTTAATTTCTAGTTAATTTCTTTATGTACAGTGCTTTACAATATTTAGAGATTTTTAATATCATATGCTAATTAATCAAATTTAAAGATATTTTCCATATCTTTGAATTTTACTTTTTATTTGTCGAAAAAATACATAAAAATAATATACGATCCAACAACATTCATCAGTATCAGTCGTATAAAATATAAAGTTATGTTGTTATTTGTATTGAATACTTATTACCCTTCATTCATCCAGGTGTGCGATTGTCTGATCGAACTGTTCATATTTATGCGTTGGTGCCACCGTACCCGCCCAAAGGTTGTTAATGGGAAAATCTTGCTCAAAGTTTGATTTTCTGCTCCGTACTAGAAGTGGCCATTTCCAAGTTTTCTCGACATCAGCCGGCGATACTGTCTCCGCCGCACCGGAATCTTTCATTACCTTGTGCGCTCAAGGCCACTTAAAGCGAGCATTCACTGCTCACTTCTCTCTCATCTATTCCGATCCAACTCTCCTCTCCCACCCTCTCAAAGCATGCATCGATCGCCGCTCTTCATCCACAGCCAAACAGCTCCATTCGATCACCATCACCGGCGGATGGTCAAGGCTGAGGGTCGTGTCCAACCACTTGATGAACGCATATTCAAAATTAGGTCAATTGGAAACAGCTCGTAAGATGTTCGACAGAATGCCTGAAAGAAATGTCATGTCATATAACATTCTGATTGGAGGGTGCATACAGAACGGGAAACTGGGAGCTGCGGTAGAGATTTTTCATGGAATGGGGGAGAGGAATTCCGCCACTTGGAATGCAGTCATAGCAGGGTTGATCAAGTTTGAATCTAATGAGGAAGGGTTGAGAATGTTTTCAGAAATGCATAAGGATGGTATTTCTCCCGATGCATACACGCTGGGGAGTGTATTGCGAGGATGCGCGGGATTAAGGGATTTGATCAAGGGAAAACAGGTTCATTGCTACGGGGTGAAACTGGGCTTGGAGTTCGATTTGGTTGTCGGGAGTTCGATGTCGCACATGTATATGAAATGTGGAAGTTTAAGCGAGGGCAAGAGTGTGATCGAGTCAATGCCAATTCATAATGTAGTTTCTTTCAACACCCTCATTGCTGGGCTAGTGCAGAACGGCTGTGCCTCGGGTGCATTGGATCAGTATTACCTAATGAAAGGAGCTGGATTTCGTCCCGATAAAATCACTTTTGTTAGCGCAATCACTTCGTGCTCTCAACTGCCGACACTCGGGCAAGGGCAGCAAATTCACACTGATGCAGTAAAAGCCGGAGCAATGCTTGTTGCTTCGGTTCTTAGTTCACTAATTAGTATGTATTCGCGGTGTGGCTGCTTAGATGATGCCGTGAGAGTTTTCGAAGAAAGGGAAGGAGTTCTGGTCGATACTGTTTTGTGGAGTTCGATGATTACTGCGTATGGATTTCATGGGAAAGCAAAGGAAGCTATTGAACTATTTAACCAGATTGAGGCACAGGGGCTGGAGGTGAACGATGTCGCTTTCCTGGCGATACTGTATTCGTGTAGTCATTCTGGGCTGAAAGACGAGGGGTTTGAATTCCTTGACCTGATGGTGAACAAGTACAAGTTGATACCTCAGACTAAACACTACAATTGCATTGTTGATCTTTTGGGCAGAGTGGGGGATCTTGATGAAGCAGAAAGGTTCATCAGATCCATGCCTATCGCACCCGATACGATCATTTGGAAAGCTTTGCTATCAGCTTGTAAGACTCATAAAAATCCTGATATGGCTAAAAGAATAGCTGGTGAGATACTGAAAATTGATCCTCAGGATTCTGCATCCTATGTGCTCCTTGCGAATGCTCAAGCCTCTGCGCAGAGATGGCAAGACGTGTTTGATGTTAGAAGGGAAATGAAGGAGAGGATGGTCAAGAAAGTACCCGGGGTCAGCTGGTTCGAGCTCAAGAATCAGGTCCATCTTTTTGTAATGGGCGATGGATCTCATCCACAGTCGGAGAAGATAGATTCGTACCTGAAAGAGCTGACTGTAGAGCTGAAATTGTTCGGCTATGTGCCTGAAATGGGAGGTGTTCTGCACGATATGGACATGGAGGAAAAGGAGCATAACTTGGTTCACCATACTGAAAAATTAGCAGTAGGGTTTGCTCTGATGAACACACCTGAAGGTGTCCCGATTCGGATAATGAAGAATTTGAGGGTCTGCGAGGACTGTCATGCCATGATGAAGTGTATATCCGAGGTTAAAAACCGAGAGATCGTTCTGCGAGATTCTAGTAGGTTTCATCATTTCAAAAGCGGGATCTGTTCCTGCGGCGATTACTGGTGAGGTAGCTAACTCTTCTTAAGACATCAATAAATTAATTATATGTTGATTTGAGAGCCTGCATCATTTTTGTTTTGGTTGAGTTGTCCATACATAACTTTTCACCTAGAAGTAGAAGTAGAAGTAGAAGTAGAAGTAGAAATAGTTCGCTTATTGAATAATAACCAATTAACCACCCATCAAACCAAATACATTGTCCCTATAATTCGAATCTTAATGCAGGTGACAGTTGATTCATGTTCCTAACATTCGTGGAAGAACTGAGATCTTGAAGGTTCTTTGATTCCGATGTTTCACATGAAGTGATAGCCATGAGGACCCCAGGTTTTAGATCTTCCTAACCTCTTGAATGAAGCGGCTGGAATTCATCTAAAGAGATTGATGATTCGATTGATAGGATTGTTGCTGTCATGGAAGGAACGGCGAAAGCGAAAGCGAAAGTCTTGTATGAAGTAGGCCATGCCATTGCCATTGCCATTTGTGGGTAAGTTTCAAATCTGTACTCGACGCTTCTCGTTTGGGCATGGAAGTTTCTGTTGATCAAACTTATGTTATGCTAGTAATCTAAATAGACTATCTTTAATCTTTAGCAATCGTAGTGAAGCAAGCTGTCCAACTTGTTGCATGTTACCTCGTGAAAATATGAATATGTTAAAATGTTTTGGTTGCGAAAACTTCCAACAGGATTAACCTGCTCGATTTTAGAAACCTGAGTGTGCGTATTGGTGAGCTTCCTGCTCTGTTTGCATGAACTAATTATCGGTCACGATCCTGTTGAAAAGGTGACTTTAATCCCAGGAGAATGATCCAACCTTGATATCCATTTCCAAGCAGCAACTATTTGCCAGAATTGTGGGCGGGCGGCGGGCTGCTGAGGAGATCATATTCGGGGTCGCAACTGGTGAAAATTGCTTTCCTATTACCACACAAACTGTTGTTTGTTGCATTCATATACGCATTTTGTGCTTAGCCATGTAAGTTTCAGAGTAACACGAAAATGTTGTGTGTGTGTGTCATAACATAGTGGATCGTCAAATATTTGATATTATCATGTTTAGAGTTGCTAAGGTTAAAACATAATTCTTAAGCAAGTGATCGATGTATACATTCGCTGATAACTTTTTTATACTCATTGGTACTTCCCTATAAACTATGAAACTAAAATTGTTGAAAATTGACGACGAATTGTAATAAAACTGCAGTAGAAATGGACACATTTTGGTGTAGTTAGTTTTGTTCAACATTAGCCGGACCGGAGCCTTTTCATACTCAAGTCATCATCATATCATATTCCCTTGCAGATGGTGGCATGTCTGAAATTGGGAGGCCATGGTCGCTGATGGACTCTTCTGCTCAAAGTGGTGATGTGATGTGATCGTGAGATTGATGGCAGGAATTCAATGTTAGAAAAGCTAGCAGACAGCGCATACGAGGGAGGAGATTGCTTTCCTTTGAGCCACATCAGTGAGGCCATGGACAAGAAGATTGTGGAAGTTCTTCTGGAGAAGGAGACGAGATGATGACAGGAGAGGAATTCCGGGTGAAAAAAGAGTTCGTCCTACTGCTAATTGATAATTGAAGTATACAGCCACTACACTTTCTTGTGTTAATGTAAAGTTACACGAAGCACAGGGTATTTTGTGCAATTTTACTAAAATATAAGGAAGTGTTATATAATTTACTCCATTTTCGATTGTCATCGAAATCCATACTCTTTGGTAAGTTCTAACTTACTAGTTTTGAGCACACGATTTCACCAGTTTAGAATGAAAAACCTGATTGTACTATTTATAGCACATTCATGGAGAGATCTACTATAAAAAGTTGAATTGTCCATTCAAACCCGACAATTCAAAAAAATTTAAAACTAAAATCAAACTATAAAGAATCGATTGATTATCTAGTCCCACCCCGATCGTTAGGAGACTGATTTGGAAACTCCATAGATGAGATGTGACTAGTGTGATTCATAAACAAAACAAAATAGGACACAAGAAGAATAGTTTTTGCGACATGCTTCCCCTTCCTAATTGGAACATTTGGATCTGTTCTCATGCCAAATTAACATAAGAGAAGCTTAGAATGAATTAATTGTACGAGGAGGTAGTATGGGAAATTGCAAAAAATATCTCATACGTATACCCTATTATTACTTTTGTCATGTATTTATCTCGTTAACAAAATATATCACATATGTTTACAAAAGTCATTATTTATGTCATTTGCCCGCGCGTGACATTCACACCACACGCGATCACGCGCTGCCACTCTCTGTCAAAGGATAAAAATAGCGACTTTTGCAAACATGTGGGATATATTTTGCCAGAAAAATAAATAAAGAACAAAAGTGATAATGAGGTATATGTTTGGAAAATTTTTTGCAATTTTCCCGAGAGAGTACGCTAGAGGCGGCCATCGCTGACATTAACACTGCGATATATAGCACCGGGGCACAGCTCATCCAAACTGTCGATGTTCCTGAACCCATTGTACTCTCTCAAGCACGTCCATCCTCGCCGCAATAGGAACTCGCGGAAATCATCTTCTGTGTAGAAAGTTTTGTCCTCTGTGTGCACCGATTCCTCATAGTAACATACTTTTATTGTCACCCCTGAAACAAATTTTCTATCATACAACAGATTTCCATCTCTCTCTATAATGTCAAAATAAAGCTTTTCAAGCTGCAATGTTCTCTCTACCTTCATCTACGTGAAGAGTGTAATTTCCCAGAGGCATATCCCTGTCCAGTGTTCGGACAATATTATCTTCATCTTCCAACCAAAATGCACGTCTCGTCCTCAATCGGAAAGCAGATTTGATGGCCTCCTTGATTGCTTCGGCAGTGCCATCAATTCCTATTCTCTTTGTGTAGTCCCCCAACTTGACGGTGATTATCCTTCCATCATATGTATTACTATTTTCGCCTACACAAACGGAATTAATTAGTCAATACTATCAATAAGGAGGGCCTAAACTAACATACTAGCTTTTCAATTTGCAATAAAGATCAATGCTTTTACATAATGATCTGAGAGCTAATAGAATATGCGGAGTGAACATCAAAAGCTACATCTTGTGATAAAATGATATTTCAAGGAGGCTTACCATTACCGGGTCCCTCCCTCCAGTTCCAAGGAGAAACTCCACTTGCTCCTACAGCGTCCGCTGCAGTGATGGCAAGAGGATGTCCGTCGTGATCCACACGTCTTTCTAAATTGAGTGCAGATCTTCCGTTAGCTGCATACCAACCATTTCCCATAACATATATCAGATCATTATGGCCATTGAAGTTCACATTAACACAAAACCTTCAAAACAAGTTCAAAGAGATGATGCTGCTCTACCAGGTACGCACTTAGGCTGATAGAATGTTCTTTCATTTATTTTTCTAAATAAACATACGAGGGAGAAAGAGAGATAAGGAACGCCACCAGTAATGAGCCCGAAGCCCCGAACTACTTGCAGACATAAATGAATAAAGAAAAAATATATATATACTGAAGCCCTGAACTACTGAAGCATTGCAGACATAAATGAACAATAATAATAATAAATTAAATTAAATTAAAAAAAGGCAAATAAACAGTTCAACAAAAGGACTTATTTGTCATGTTCTTGCATTTTGTACTAGTATTACATTCACATCAAGCGGCTTACAGGTATGAAAGCAACCAACTCTACTGTAATGATTAATAAAAACATCTTGTTCTATACTTAATGGTATTATAATAATAAAAAATAAAAAAATTGTAAATCTTACCCCACATTCTCAATTTTCACATTATGCTCTTCAATTCACACTTCACTTCCTTGTAACTCTCCATGTTCTTTATACTCCACAATCGAGTAACTTTTTCATGCATGTCGTTATGGAGATAGGTTACAAACCAATGCAGTAAGAGAAATTATCAACCATACAATAATGCACTAGTGAGATCAAGTTTGTTGTTCCAAAACACCCCTTAAACTTGATTCACTACTCTCTCTAAGGGTTGTCTTCAATTTTTTAAATATGTCAACCAACATTAAATGGTTGTGTAGAAATATCAGTAGCTTAATCTTGAGACTTGACAACTTCAAGCTCCACTTCTTCTTTCGTAACACATTATCTAATGAAATAGTACCTTGTATCAATAAGCTTATTCCTCTTATAAAACATTGGGTTTTTTCGCCCAAGGAAGTGGGGGCTTGTTATCAACAAAAATTGTTGTTGGTTACTCTTGTGGTAGAAGTAGTAGCTCTTTCAAAAATATTCTATGTAACACTTCGGTCAGCTCAAACCGAAGTATAACCGCCATCCCACACCGAAACTCATTCATCAACCAACGATCAATATGTTGTGGCGCTAAGGCTAAAATAACCATTACAAGCAACTAATTAGCATTGTTGTCGTTGGTAATTTTAGCGTAATTGGATTTATTCGAGACCAATGAATGTTGGGATTAAGTGAACTTCGAGATGGGATGCGTGGAGTGCGCACTTGAAGAAGCTAATTTCGACATAATTTTGACAAGTAACACAAATTCTAGGATTGATTGTTGAAACGGCCTTAGTCATGGGCATGACTAAGTCTGCCGTCTACAAGTCTGAAAGATCTGTAATTAAATGTATGAGACAAAATGTAATAGTTAACTTAGTCATGCCCATGACTAAGTCGTACGGGCTATTCTAGAATTTTCCTAGAATTATAATTTCAAAATTGTGTTTATTTATGAATTGATGTGTCTAATAATATTTAAATTATAAATTCAAACTTTTGTTTGAATTGAATCAATATATCAATTTATTTTGAATTCAAATTAATATTTGAATTGAAAGAACACACTCTTTCATTTTGAAATTTAAATTTAAATTGAACCATTCTATCGGTTCAATTTGAATGAAAGGTTACTTATGATCAATAAATAGATGGAGTGGTCCCATTTGCAGAGATGATAAAAAGAGATATCAAAACAAGAAAAACACATTCAGTGTTTTATCCCTTCATACTCATTTTATTCTCTACGTTCACCTTGTCTCAATATTTTCTACCAGAATTCGAGATTGAACTTTGTATTATCTCAATACGAATTTTGTGTAACTCTTGATAGGAATTGGGTCAAAATATCGTATTCGGAAAGTGAGCTCATCACGATATAGAGTTATATCCAGCCATTTTCGTTGTTATCCAATAAAATCCCCAACATTCGAATACGATATTTTGATGACGAACATGGCGAGCGAAACTCTGAGCGACATGTCAACCAAGTTTGGCAAGTTGACAAAGTTCGAAGGCATCTATTTCCATCGCTGGCAGAAAAAGATGCACTTCCTTCTCACAACTTTGAAGGTCATGTATGTCCTGAGCACTCCATGCCCTGAGGAAACCGAAGATAAAACTTTGGAGGCAACGCGTCACAGGAGCAAATGGGAGAATGATGACTACATTTGTCGTGGTCATATTCTCAATGCAATGTCTTATCCAATTTTTGATATTTATCAAAATATGGATTCAGCCAAGGAACTTTGGGAGGCACTCGAATCTAAATACATGGCTGAAGACGCTTCGAGCAAGAAATTCTTGGTAAGTGACTTCAACAACTATAAGATGGTTGATTCGAGGCCTGTGATTGAGCAGTACAACGAGCTCCTTCGCATCCTTGGTCAGTTCATGCAGCACGACATGAAGATGGATGAATCCATTATTGTTTCATGCATTATCAACAAGTTGACGCATGCATGGAAGGAATTTAAGCGAACGCTTAAATACAAGAAGGAAGAGTTGACACTTGTAGAATTCGGTAGCCATTTGCGTATAGAAGAATCTATAAAAGTACAAAAGGGTAGTAAAGGCAAGGATATTGCCGGACCTTCGGTAAACATGATTGAGGAACAAAAGAAAGACAAGTTCTCAAAAGAAGGCTACAGTAAAAAACGCAAATTTAATGATTTTAACAAAGGTGTCAACTAGAAAGCCAAGATGGCCTGCTGGATATGTGGAAAATCTGGGCACCTTAAACGCGACTGTCGTGTTGGAAAAGGAAGCCGATGTGCTAGCACTAGCAAAGGGGGAACGGGATCAAATGATCTTTCCCAAAACCAAGGTCTGGATTTAGTGAATATTTGTAATAATTCGATTAAACATACTATATCACTAATTTTTTAAGCACTATGTGCAGGATGACATGTTTGCTTGGTGGGTAGATTCCGGCGCCACGTCACATGTATGTAAAGATCGCTGCTGGTTCAAGGATTTTCATCCGGTGAATGATGAATCCATGTTATATATGAGGGACAATCACTATGCTCCAATTCTTGGACAAGGAAAAGTGACGCTGGAATTTAGTTCTAGGAAAAGTATTACTTTGTAATGTTTTATATGTACCTAAGTTACGTAAAAACTTAGCTTCGGGTTCTGTATTAAATAAGTCCGGTTATAAACAAGTATTTGAGTCGGACAAGTTCGTGTTATCTAAACACGGTGTATTCGAAGGATTTGGTTATTACAACCATGGTATGTTTATATTAAATTTGGTCAATATACCTTGTGTTTCTAATGCTACTTGCATGGTTTTCAATTCAAAAGATGATTCATTCATGTGGCATGCTACACTTGGACATGTGCATTATAAAAGAATGCTAGATATGTCTAAAGTGGATTTAATTCCTGCAATTGATGTTACGACAAACAAGTGTAAGATTTGTGCTTTAACGAAAACCACAAAGAAACCATTTAAAGGGATCACTCGAAAATCTGAAATTCTTGAGTTGATCCATAGTGATCTCTGCGATTTTCATTCAACACCATCATTGGGAAATAAAAAATATATTGTCACTTATATAGATGATGCAACAAGGTACTGCTACGTATATTTGTTGCATGCAAAGCATGAAGCTTTTGAAAAATTCAAGGTTTATAAAACTGAAGTTGAATTACAGCTTGGTGCGTCAATTAAAACGCTGCGTAGGGATCGAGGAGGAGAATATCTCGACTTTCCATTCTTTCAAGCTGTTGGAATAATCCATGAAACCACGGCTCCTTATACACCTCAACAAAATGGTGTAGCCGAAAGGAAAAACAGGACATTGAAAGAGATGGTAAATTCCATAATGTCTTTTTCGGGTTTGAGTGAAGGATTTTGGGGAGAAGCAACGCTAACGACCTGCTTTATATTAAATAGGATCACTAACAATCGAAACAAGTCACTCCCTATGAGCTTTGGCACAAACGGCCTAACTTAACATACATACGAATATGGGGCTGCAGAGCAATTGTTCGAGTTCCTGAACCTAAAAGAAAGACTTTAGGTGAAAAAGGAATTGACCGCATTTTTTAAGGATATGCCAAGCACTCAAAGGCATATCGGTTCTACGTCCTGGAACCAAATGATTGTCTCTGTACACTCAATCATTGAATCACGTGATGCAATCTTCGATGAAGAACGTTTCACGTCGATGCCTAAGCCTTCATCTAGTGTCAAATCCACTAGGTATGATGAGCATAAGAGTGATGAACATCTACCTCTGGACGTGACCTTTAATGAAAAGGAGGAAGAAAATCAAAATATTGATGAAAATAATCAATTGGCTGAACTTAGAAAGAAGTAAAAAGGCTGGAAAACCAAAGTCCTTTGGTACCGACTTTCAATCTTTATTTAGTTAAAGGATCCGGAAACAAGTTTGGATCTTTATATCAATATTGTCGTAATTTAGAAAAAGATCCAAAGACATATGAAGAAGCCATGAGAACTCGGGATGCTTCCTTTTGGAAGGAAGCTATTAATGATGAGATGGACTATATTTTAGAAAACAACACTTGGGTGATGACGGATTTACCTCCGGGATGCAAACCTTTGGGCTATAGATGGATTTTCAAACGGAAAATGAAATCCGATGGAACCATTGACAAATTTAAGGCTCGATTGGTCATCCAAGGATTTAGACAAAAGAAAGGTATCGATTACTTCGATACCTATGCACCGGTTGCTCGAATCACTACTATAAGATTGTTGATTGCTTTGGCTGCAATTCATAATCTTATTATCCATCAAATGGATGTTAAAACGGCATTTCTAAATGGCAATTTGGGGGAGGAAGTATACATGAAGCAACCGAAAGGTTTTGTTGAACTGGGAAACGAACATAAGGCGTGCAAGCTTGTTAAATCATTATATGGCTTGAAACATGCTCTCAAACAATGGCATCAAAAGTTTGATGAAGTTGTATTGTCAAATGGTTTTGTTTTAAACCAATCAAAC